AGTTTAAAGGGTCAGAGAAGAAAGTACAGTCAGAATCACCAAACAAGCGATTAATGAGATTCCAAAAAAATGTCAGGGCTGGCAGAGGTGAGTGGGGCTGGGAGGTGGCTGCGGGCTGGTGTGGGATGGGGGCCCTCCCCATCCACAGCGTGGGACGCTTCCCAGCCCTGGCGTTGGCCCAGCCATGCTGATCTGCTGCTGGGAGGGGAGTGGGCTGCCTTAGGCACCATTTTTAGAGCCAGAGACTTAAAAACTCTCAGTCTGGAGTGGCAGAGCTGGGCTACATCGCAGGTACTGGTTTCTGCCCTGAGCTCCTGCACACAGATGGAGTTTCCCTGGAGTGCTGGGGCCAGGTCTTACACACACCTGCCCTGGGGCTGGCATCAGGCTGCGCACAGGAGTGGTGGGCACAGTGGGTCCCAGCCCGATGGGGGGCCAGCACTGTTGCCCCAAATCCCCCTGAGAGCCCCCACGCAGGGCAGTGTTATGGCCAGGGCACAGCTGCAAATCTGTCCTGCCCTCAGCAGGAGCCTGATCCTCACCGCACTGGAGGTGGCTGCCCTGCTCCCTGCCAGCACCTGCATGGCTCATCCCTCCAGCACCGCCTGTCCCTGTCCTCAGACACCAGCTGCAGGCCCGGGGAGGCACGCGGGCAGGAGGTGGCAGGGCCACATGGGGTACATGTCACCGTCACCGGGCATGGCAGCTCTCTAGATGCTTAGCACTGGGGACAGATCATGGGGAAGCCTGGAGCAGAGCAGGCAAGCAGCACACTGACTCTGCTCCAGCTCTTAGGAAAAAGGAAAGGTGGTCTTTCTCCAAGGTCTTTCTCCAATGTCTTGCACTAAAAAAACTTTCTCCTAAGGCTGCTGGAACCTTAAGAGGCAGCCACTGCATGTGTGCGCATGTGTGATGACATGTGTGTGCAGGGATGCACTTGCGTGCCTATGTGTGCACAAAGGCATGTGTACGTTTGTGCATGTATGTGTACATGTCTTTGTGTGTGTGTGTACGCTGCATAGAAGAGGAGCAGATTAAAGCGTTAGGTCACATGGGAGCTACTGCTGGATGGACCCTACCTGGGATTTGGGTTCTTACAGTTAATAGGATCGCTAGAGCTCAAGGCTGTCATCCCATCAAGATAAATGTCTCTAGTGCCCACTTTTAAGCAATCCGAATTCAATTAGGCTAATTGGAAAACAAGTAAAGAAGGATTGCGTTAATATAGCCTTATAGCATGAACCTCCACTCCCTCCCTCCGGAGGGACAGCTGAGCGTGGTGAGCCTAAATGTCAGAGCCCTCACACAAGGCTTATGCTGCTCACCTCCCAGAAAGGGCTGCCCCGCTCCCAGATCAGACACGGCCGATTCCATACCCACAGTCAGGACGGGCACTGCGGGCAGCACGCTCCATGGAGGCTCAGGCACTGTGCTGCACAGGGCCTGCTCAGCACTCTCTGTGGGAGTCCTGCATGCTGCAGAGCACCTTGTAAGTGGTGGAGAAAACATAACCAACCCTCCTAGGGGCAGGTAAAGGCAAATCTCATCAGAAAGAAAGCAGGAGGCGACGGTCAAGGTATGAATGATGCAGTGATGGGAGGAGGCAGCAGCTTCCTCACACGTCGTGCTTCCAAGAAAGTTCTTAAACTGCACACTTGGGAACTTCTGGGGAGAAAAAAAGCAAAGCCAGTTTTTAACAATATCTGTTGGATGATACAGAGTATGCAAACTGCAGCAGGGTACAGGTTCCTGCTGGGTGAATATTTCCCCCTTTTCCTTGCCCTCCCCGCCCCCATCGATTTGCTATCTGACCTTAAAAGTCCTGTTTATCTTTCAGGGAGGCACTCCCTGCTGCACATCAGTGGTCTGGAGAGTAGTGATGTCCCACCTGCAGAGTGACTTCAGCTTCAAATGTCTGCTCTGTAAGGCAGTAATTATTTCAGCAAGAAAAGACAGGAGGAAAGGAAGCAAGAATCTGTGGCATTTTATGGTGCTGATTTCATTGTGTGAAGCCATGTCCCATACATATTTCTCAAGAGCACCAATAGGATCAAAACTATTCCCATTTAGTTTCCACTACACATGCACAGGAAGGAGGTACCGCAGACAGCTGCGCTTTAGAGGTTGTCCATCTTGAGAATTTTTGTTAGCTACCAAACATAATTTCAGCAGTAATTGTTGTAATAACACATTGCAAAAAACTAAAATTCTCAAATTTGATCCTGATTGCCCTTGTAAATTTCCAAAGGTTAATGGTCTTTGCGAAGCTGTGATGTACCACAGTATCAATATCTGAGGCTTCATACTAGTTTGACATGTGTCCCAGGGGACTCTGTGGCAGCAGGGGATTTAGCTAACAGCTAGTACAGTAGGCCCAAAGGAAAACATTCAGACAGTTACCTTTCTTTGCCATCCTAAACTCTCTGTGTTAGTCTCAGATTATCAGAGGAACCGTTAGACTTCCTCCCTCGCCAGAGCAGTGTGACACCTCACATGTGTGTCAGGGCACCAGTCTGTGCCTGAAGCATGGCAAGAGAGAAAAGATAGATCTGGAGCTGGAACAGTCAGAGCTGCTCTCTGCTCTGCTACAGCGTTGTGGGTTTTTTTCCAGATTTTTACAGATTGTGACCAAGGGAGTTGCTTCCTCTTTCGACAACTCCACTCCCCAGCAAGAAGGGTGCTACAGTGACAAATGCAGTTTCATACTGCAAATACAACTGTAATAATCTACTGCTGAGGAAGGAAGATCCTTCTCTGTTAGGGAGGAAGGTCTCTTGTCTGCTGCGTGGGATGTGTACTCTGCTTCAGGGGTGGAAGTTTTTTTGCCATACATTCACATTAACAGCAAGAAATTTGAGTCTTGTCCCTGTATTTGACAATTTCAACAGGTGCCCTAAAAGCAGCACCTGTGCCAGGACCGATAGGCACTTACTGCCAGACCAGAGTCTGGCTAAAGGGGTTCTGCTCATTTGTCTCACCTTGCTATCTTCTTTTGCTACAACAAGCAAAAACGATTCCCAAGTTTGCCCAGGGCTTCTGGAGGGACAGGCATGTTTTGTGCTGGTTGTGAGTGCCATAAAACCCCAGCTCCAAATTAGAAGAAATTAGGGACATTGCACAGTTCATTCATCTTCACTAATAGAGTTCTTGGGAAATACACATGTAGATTAAAGGAACACAATGGCCCCTGGCTGATTGCTTTGAGTACCCTCCAATGCCCCTACAATGGTATTGACTTGCTTTTCATATTGTGCACAAAAGCCACACTAACCTTTTCTTGTCTCTTCTGTTGGCCTCTTCCCTCTTGGCCAACGGATGGCGGAGTTCTTTCGGCCCCAACGCACCCCCCACCCCGAAACAGTCAGTGAAGGCAAACCTCACCTGGAGCTAGTAGAAAAGCTGAGCACTTCTAAAAGGAATTAACTTTGGGACACCAGACGATAAACCTTAAAAAGGTGTGGGCATCGGCAGAGGCAAGCACTGCCAATCTTTATTTTGAAGCGATTCCTCTGGAAAAATCTACACAAAATGCATCCTGTTGGGGCGGGGGGGAAGCAAAAATGAACATTTGTGGAGAGAGGTCATGCCTTTTATTAGACTACCTAATATATCTGGAAGAAGCAGCAGCAGTGGTGTGTTTCATTCACATACACTCTCAGGCTTGAAACAGAAGCATCTTCAAAGCTAAGCGCAGGCTGAAAACCACTCTGGATTTTACTGCGTTTGCCACTTAAACCAGCTGGGACAGAAGACGGCTGGTGCCTCAGAGAAAATGGCAAATGCTAGCATGAAAAGTGATAAAGTGATGGAAAGAGAAAAGCAGGGAAAATACTGATGCAGGAAGGAGTGTGTTGGAGGCAGGAGACATGATGCCATTGCCTGGTTAGTAGTGTGCCGAGTCCGTGTCCTCCACCAAGCCAAGTACAAAGTAAGGTGTGGGATTTGGCTCTCTGCCTTACCTCCAAAAGCATTCTGTAGCTCTTTCATGAAGCCATGCCCTGCCCTCTAGCCACCCAGCCCCACTCGCGCTGTGGAGGACAGGCTCACAGAATCAGCTCTTCTCACAGGGTCTGCCCTAGACCAACATCTTGGAAAATTTCCTCGGAAGTATCGCTTAGCGCTTTCCCCAGACTTGTGGAGGCGAAAAGGCTGAGCCCACCGCCTTCAGATGTCTCCAGAGTCCACCCTCCCCAAAAGGCCACGCACACTTTCACTCGGCCTGTAAACCGTGCTTTGAAGGGAGCCAGACGCAGGGCACGTATCCCGACAGGGGACCAGAGCACCAGCTTTCACCCCCAATGCTTTTTACCCTGTGCATTCGACACTGAACGGTGCCACGGCATCCTCCAGCACGTCATATTTTGAGAGGCCATCTGTGAAAACGATGCACTTAAAAAATGCCTGGGCCTGGCGTGGAGCTGTCAAGCGAGGCAAACTCGCAGAGGCTCCGAGAGCCGGCAGCACAGCACAGGGCACTGAGCAGCCGGGCACCCACCGCCCTCCGGCCCCGGCCCCCCCC